TTACACAGACGCACCAACTGAAGGAGTCGTTTTAATCCTCTCCTCATCGCTGTCTCTATGTTGGGAAATTGGAGAATGTGGATGAAAATATGAGATGGGGAGACAAAATGCGACTGGGCTTGGATGCGACAAAATGTTGACTGATCAGCATCCGAAGGCAACATCTGATTTGTGGTGGTGTTTGGGAGAGAGAGAAAGAGAAAGAAAGAGAGAGAGAGAGAGAGAGAGAGAGAGAGAGAGAGGGGATTGGGAGGAATAGGGACTAGGTATTGATTTTAGTCGCGACGATAATCTATTAGTTCAAGAGGAAAGGAGGCTGCGTTAACGTTGACCTTATATTAACACGTTGACCTCGGGAAGAGCGCTTGGGCTTTTGATGTAAGCATATTGACGGGGTTAAGAGAGGATGCGAGGAGGAGGAGGAGGATGGGGAGTGGGGTCCGATGTTAGGAGAAAAGGATTCCTCCAAAAGTTCGTGTCCTTAGTAATGATGTCAGGAGTTAGATATTTAGAGAGGTTAGACAGGAAGGCACGCGCCATGAACTCGTCATATCAGATATATTTCAACGACAATATGCTCAGAGCAATGTATTTATAGACATCGCACTCATGTTATTTTACCTAAAAGTTAATCAATACTTTCAGACTTTATGTCTAAAAATGAGAGATACTGAAACGACTCAAACAAGGGTACAGTATTCATGACATTATGAATTAAAGAGGGGTAAGTAAGAGGGAGAGAGAGAGAGAGAGAGAGAGAGAGAGAGAGAGAGAGAGAGAGAGAGTATGGGGGAGATAAAAAGGGGATCTACAGTATGGATATGTTTAATTAACAAAACTAATTAATTTACAGATATAAACATAATCTATAATCTGCAGAATGTGAGGAGATTCTGAAAGTTACAATGGTATTAGTTTTTTTTTGGATTTAGAAGGGGTAAAGTGCCCCTTACCCTCCCCCTTCGTTTGTCTCTCATAAGGACGCCACGCCAACGGTCTTACTCTAATCGTTGTGGCATCCCACTTATCCCAATACTGAATGAAATGCGAGACGAAAATGTTCGCCAAAATTAGGTCAGATAGATGTCTCTAGCCGTCTCTTCGACTCCCCATCGGAGGGAGACGTAGATCTGGAGGCGTTTAATGTGCTTGGGGATCAGAATAATAATATCAGCTAATGTTTTATTTTTGAGATTGTACAGGATTTCATGGTAATTTGTTACTGTGAAGAAGCTATTATTATTATCATTATCAACATCACCTCATTTTTTGCTCGTCCCCCTTTAATAATCACCACTACCCATCATCATTATAATCATCATCATCATCTTGACCATGATCATCATCATCATCATCACCACCACCATTTTCCTCCTCCTCCGCCTCCTCCTAATCATTGTCATAAACAGTATAGAAACAAATGTCTCCAACGAGATTCCTTAGCAGGGGTACTCCCCACCCTTCTATTACCCCTCCCGCAATCTGGCTCCGAGGAGAAGCTACCACCAATAACGGATAGGGTAAATGGGCTAATTGGCGATTATCGCCGAGCGCTTTCGTGTCTTTGGAGGGACCTATTAAAGTCAAATTCAGACTAAAATTACAATTTTTCGGAGGCTTTGGGATGGTTAGGGTTCTTAATTGTATTGTCGCCTAGACATCGGCTTACCCTCTGAATGACTCAACCCTTTTGTCGGTAGCGATTCTGACTTACGTTGGGAAGCATAATAAACAGCTGTCAGATGGAGAAACAAATCATTTTTCTCCCTTTCTCTATTTTGCTATCGTTGAGTATGTTTTTATCATAGATTGTTTTCCTGTCTCTGTTACTGACATTTTTTGATAGACCACACGGCGCTTGTAATATTCTATTTTCCCTATCTCATTGTTCTCCATTTTTTACACTTACTTATTCCTCTCTCACCCTTCACCATCATAATCATGATAATACTTCCACGTTCTCTTCTTTCTTGCTCTTCTCTCCCTCGCTCTTTTCTACTACCAACATAATTTGTATTTTTTCTCTCTCAGTCTATCCGGTATATTCATATCTCTCTCTATCCCTAGAAGTCTCCTCTCTAATCTTTAGGTCTACATCCCTCTCTGCATCCACCCCACTCCATCTCCCCATCCACCCCACTCCATCTCCCCATCATCCATAACCAAACCCCAATAAGCCCATGGACATACCAAGTCTGCCTGGCTATCCGTCTCCCAACCATTCATATCACAGGCGACAGTCACCCATGCCACAATTTCTCACCAACCCTCTTACGCGCGTGTGCGTCGTTCGTTACCCATAATTCATAGCAATACCGAAATGTTCCAAGCTGACTCGTCAGAAGGTCTCGAAAAGTCATTGCTTAAAAATATGATTTCTTTCTTCCCGAGACGAACAACGAAGAAAATGTCCTCAAATGGCCCAATTTATTGGGTAATTACTGTCTCTCTTTACCTCGTTTCGTCGCAGTGTAATTGCCCCAGCCATAGTTTGCTGATGAAGATCGATGTTATCTTTTGAAGACTGAGAGAGGGTTTGAGAGGAGGAAGGAGTTCTGTTAATCGATAGGCTGGTGCTTAATTCGTTGAACTTGTGAAGATACAAAAATGAGAGTTTCGTTTGTCGCAGGTTATCGTCGGGGCATGGTGAGTGAGACAATGATTCAGCTAATTTCTTACTCCATCATTGTCCACGGGGAAAGAAAGAACAGCAGCTGATATGATGATGATGATGATGATGATGATGATGATGATGGTGTTGGTGGTGGTGGTGGTGGTGATGGTGGTGGTGGTGGTGGTGGTGGTGGTGTAACTGCGAGGTTGATACTGCGGTATTAGGGAATGTAATGGTAAGTCTAAGGATAGTATCAGAGTTGGGAAACTCTCTCCTTCTCTCTATCGTTCAGTCAAACTTTTTTTAGAACCCCTCTCCAAGATACCGTTCTTCACGCGCACACTATTTTCTTCCAGACAAACTAGATATCCATCCATGTTTGCCAATTTATTACTTCAAGAAATGGGTTTGGAAAGAATAAAGTACATGTACATGTTCCTAACGGGTCACGGCCACCGCGTAATTAATGGAGACAAGATGGAAAAAGAAAAAATATTGTCGACGCTGGATGCTAGACTATCTTGGGAAGACGCGCGTCGCTGCTGAAAGTACATTAACCCCGACGTCTAGCTCTCCTGGCTTAGAACCCGCTCTAATAGGGACCATATTTCAGCCTCTCTCAACATAACATAACATGCTTTGTCACGAGTGGGACTGAGCAGCCCTGTCTGGGTTCCCTGTCTCACCTAACTCGTCTATGACCTGAGCTAAATTTAAGCATTAATGTATATAACCACAACAATTTCTGTGTGTAGGCCTACATGTCATTCAAAAACAGCTGTTTAAAGTGCTGTATATTGATAAATTGAATCCAGTGTAATTTATCACATTTGTCAAATAAACACAATTATCTACATAAACCACAATGACACAATATGAATTGTTTTCCTCTGCGTGCCAGTATACAATACTCAATTTACTCTGTAAGTCATTGGATTAGTCACATTATGATTGTGCTTAATAGATTGATATTATATTATGCTCTTATTTTAAGCTACATTGAATCATGTGTGGAAGTTATTTTAATCACATGAGTTGACAAAAAAAAAAAAAATCAATTTTTAGAGACTTAATGACAACAAGATCAGAAGCAGCTAGTCTAAAAGACGGCGGAAATATGAGTATTAATTGACGTTCCTTCATAGCAGCAATCACAATATAAACGACTCATGTCTTTCTCGAGAGGGCTTACTACTTCGTTCCCACAGCGCAAATTCTGTCGCTTGAACTTGATTAGTTATGTGCGCCCCCATCTTCTCCTTGCCCTTAGCGCAGAAGGTGAACACAATACACTTGTAGAAGAATATGCATGTATATGCTGCATTGGAGTAGGGTTGTCCACATCGTCATAAATGTCACCCTTGTCATGCCCGTCATAATTATATCTTCAGTGTGAATCCACTTTTTTCTGGAAGACAGACGACAACTGAGCACGCTGGAGCCAAAGCGCGCAAAAAACGTATGACAAAAATCTTGAGCAGACGGTACACTTTTTCCCCATCACCCATCCGTCCCTTGTCTAATCTTTAACTATAATTCATTTCAATTGTTTTGCGCGCTTTGTAATTTTTCATTGGGAAGTATTGTTGTGAGGGAGGAGGAGGAGGAGAGAGAGAGAGATAGAGAGAGAGAGAGATAGAGAGAGAGAGAGAGAGAGAGAGAGGAGGGGGAGAGAGGAGTGAATGGACTTTGTGTGGCGTCAAGAAGATGGAGGAAGCTGAGATCGCGATAAAGATGAAATCGCTGGCATCATCCGATACAAGGCTGAGCAATATACATTGCAACAACACGCCTAAGCATGCACTTTTGGAATTTTTTATTACTTGTAAATAGCGGGAAAGCAAATTTGTTAATGTCTCAGACGCTTGCTTGTAGATTACATGATGTATGAACATGTAGGCCGAGTACATATTTCATTTAGACTGTAATTATCCGGCAGACTGATTTATAACTTCCTTCGTATTCCTGTGGTTTGTTGGTTGCATCAACGTCATCAATTCAAGTTGGTCTAAACTGACAATGTACTGGTCAATACTTTTGTGTACTATAGTTTATGTGAACGCACCAATAGAGCTTTAAGATATTTTGATTTATCTATCGATAAATCCTTGCACTCATTAAACCATCCGTTTGTAATCAAACAATGAATTGATAAATCATTAATCGAACAATAATTCATCCAATCAGCAATAAATCAGTCAAACCATTGATCAATAAATTCATTCATAAATCAATCAGTCAAATAACCAGTTGGTTAGTAATTAATCAATCATTCGACTAATATATTACTATTTTTTTATTCACGTTACCGTGTAATATTTGTTCCTATTGAATCTATTGAGTGTGAAATTATGTGCAATAACTGTAACTATTGTGTGATTATCTGTTCAGGTTGTACCTTCGGAGCGGACTTCTACAATCTTGAAGATGAGTGGCATCCGAACCTTGGTGAACCATTTGGAGAAATGGTGTGCGTCGTCTGCGAATGCCGACCCGTAAGTCATTCCATCTTTCTTATAAATAATCCACATTCATAACCACGAGACCAACAACAGACCCAACAAATAATGCATTATGATAATGATAAAAAAAAAAATTAAAAAAAAAAATCCTCGATTTTTAGTCGGTCTGGAGTCGATAAGGCTGCGTGACTGAGGTATAAGTGGAGTTACACACAGTTATATCTACGAGACCGACACCATGTCCACAATAATTCGTCGCTGTTTTCACGAAGTGACGGTAGTGAAAAAAAATTGCATTCACTTTGCGTTACGATTTTCCTCGCTACCGTCACTTCGTGAAAACAAGGACGAATTATTGAATTTTGCATGTTCGAATAAGTGAAGCGGTTGTGGCATCTTCTGATGACGGTGCCGTTGATGATGAAGATGATAGTGGTGAGGATGATAGTGATGATGGTGATGAAGATGATAGTGATGATGATGATGAAGATGATAGTGATGAGGATGGTTGTGATGATGATGAAAGGGAGACAAAGAACGGGTAATATAGAGGAAGGTCGAAGAGAAAATTATTTTCATCCAGGTTATACTTGCATCAAAACAGAATTGACAAAAGCAAGCACTCCTCGTGGAAAAAACGATGTTGCACTTCGACTCGTCGCTAAAGATTAACTCAAAATAGCAATCCTTTTTCCTCATTCGTCGCATTCCTTCGCATACCACTTGTCGAAAAAGTTATTGTAGCCGCGATATTTGTCTAAACTTTCGTTCAAAATAATATACCCCTCTGATGTATTGACGCAAATGTTCTGACGCCCTCGCAGTGCTTATTGATTGGTTCGTTTGCCATGGTACTTTCTTCTGAATCATTCAAAATGCCATTTCCCTCTATACGCATTATGAAACGACCTGACTGTCACTTGGGTTCCTGGCACCCGTAACAATACCTTCCCTTTATACATTTCTATCTGTAATTTAATAATAATCATGATATTTTACCAGTTTCTTCAAAATTAACGTGTAATATTCATTAACATCCAACGATAATCAACTCAATCGAACCTGAAATACACCTACAATTACGAAAGAGGCAATATATTTAGTTAAGAAAGGAATTTAATTTGTGTTTTATGTATAGACGGGGAGCGAGCATAACACAGACAAAAACTGACAATTTTATCCCAACCATACAGACCAATAAGGAAAAAACCACGAAACATATTGCAGATTTATGACACGAATGTAAGAATATCCGAATGATTCATAGATTTTGAAAATTGTTCCGACATTCCACATTCCCACCTGTTCCGTGGCGTTCCACTACAAGCAGGAGGAACATTCCATAGATTGCATCTGACCTGAAACCTCAACCGCCTCTTCCAACCTAGTTCAAGTGTAGCTCTTCTTAGCATCCCAGCTTATTCTTAATATCTAAAACCGACAGTAAAATATATGAACGAGATTTTCAAATTCAAATTTCAAATTAGTCCTAACTGGTCAATTTGAGTATTACACTATGAAGGAAAACATTATTATCGTTTCCTAGATGAAACTGATATAATAAGCAGCATGCAGAATGTGCCTCCGGGGTAAGGCATTCGATAGTATTGCTAAATTAGCAATGTTAGGAGTAGAAGAAGACACGAACGCTAATAAACAATTTATCAAATTTGCATCATTCAATGATAATGATCATTTTGCACCTCTTGAGGTTGAGTTGTGCACCCTTCGACACCCTCTGCATCTTAGTGTAGGGGTTACCTCTATTGTACCATGGATAGGTCCATGATTGTACCGATATTTAAGGTGCAAATTTGATCTTTCGTTTCTTAGTTTTATCTGATAGTAATAGAGAAGTAGAGAAAAGAAGGAGATAAAGATGAATAAAAAATAATATAGAAATAGGAGGATTGCCATGGCACAACGAGATCATGCTGTATTACCCGCGGATATGACATTTATAAAAAGATTTTAAAAAAAGGGAATAACGAAAGTAATCCGAGAATCGCTTCCTGTGAGGAAAGAGATGAAAATTGATGGCGATGAAACGAAAACAAAAGAAGATCTGAAGAAAAAAAAATCATCTGAGAACGAGGTCATTTATATCATCCTTGTCTTCCTTCCCACCCGAACCTTTCTTTCCCTCCACTTAATTATGATTCCAAAGAAGGGCACCAATATCATCACTGCCCCCATTCTCTAATTTCTTCCCAGCCAAGATGCCGCTTTGAATCAAAATCTCGACCCCAAAATGGAAGACAGCTTTATCTATAACCTCCAATTATTTTATTTTTTCTTCTTGGCTTTTTCTTCTCGCATCCAGCAATGTGTGGCTTCTTGGCTGTTGTTTTTGACCAAAACAAAAATTGTCCCCCTTTTCTTTATCACCTGTTCCAAGTAATTCATCTCAATTTGATCAATGTTGATCGAATCACTCGCACCTCTGCAATCGCCAATTACGGTCAGTGATATCACGTTATTGTCCCTTTATTGGTAGGGACGAAATAACCAATGTGGGGTTCGCTTAGCCTCCATACAAGGGCGACCTTTGGCATTTTACTAGGACAGACAAATAACTTGAATAAAAACACAAGACGCGACACGTATTTGATTTCATAAGTTTCAGGGTCTGATGTGATCTCACGAAATCATGGCGTCATTTGAGGTTTCTAGATGTTTTTTTATGATGTTGTGTTTATTTTCCTGACGCTTTTTATTGTTACCTCGTGCCATCAGTTGCAACACATATCCGAAAATTTTGTTTTGTTTATACTTCTAATTATTCATGTACAATGTGATATAGTGTAGGAGAAAAGGCTCAGTAAGTCCCCTTTATATAACTTTTGGGGACACTTTTCAAAACTTTTTCTAAGAATACCAATATCAGTATTAGTGATTATGTAATAATGCAAGCACAGGAAGCAATAAGTTACCTTTGCTTCCCCAGCAATGCCAGGTGCCCATTTACACCTGGATGGAGAGTGACAAATATGGATTAACGTCTTGCCAAAGGACATTAGTACCGCGTTGGGAATCGAACCCTCATCTCTTAGACTGAATGAACCACATCGGTATTGATAACGTACCTCCGAGGTTTCCCTGGGTCGCGATGGTAATAGATTAAGCATATCTCGTGTTTCCCGCTCAGCAATCTGATCGCACCCTAGACATGGAGACCAATTTACGGAAGTGTCACTCAGGTCGGCAAGCAGGTGAACCAAGAATGTGTGACGTCACCAAACGTCTCGTCAAGTGGAGAGAGATACACACACAGATATAGAGAGATAGAGAAAATGAGAGAGAATAATAGAGAGAGATAGGGAGAGAGAGAGAGAGAGAGAGAAAGAGAAAATGAGAGAGAATGATAGAGAGAGAGAGAGGGAGAGAGAGAGAGAGAGAGAGAGAGAGGCAGAGAGAAACCAACATTGTCAGTTTTAACGCCTGCTAAATAATTGCGAATGATTGCAAACATGAAATATAATTGCTCGTTTATCTGATTATTGTATATACTCGTTTTTTCAACATCAAAGAGATATATAAAACTTTTTATACAATGTGAAATATATATCATTTTGATTTCACTGTTTTAATAATTGTTTGCACCTTTTAATTCAGAACGGCTACTTCTTCAAAGCTGCCTTTAGAAAGCACTATCACCTCATCGCTTTATAACCAGGCGCATCCGAATTTTCCATAAATAATTATATTCCCAATCATTTACCTGACCCTAACCCGAGCTTAAACTAGGTTGTACAAGTAGATCAACTATCCTTGTACCCACTCACATTTTTACACCACTTTTTTGCCATCAGATTCCCATGACAACCCTTGCTACTGCCAGAAAGTGTTACAATTATCTGCGAAATGAACTTCTAACAGATATTAGACTTGTCGTGTTAAATCGAAGGTTTAACATCAAGTCATTTAGCTGTATTTCCCAATTCAATTTTGTTTATTTCCACCGCTGATTCCTCTGAACAGCGAATATTGAAAGTCATTCGGTTAAGAACTTTCTGTCTTACCTCAACTCTTTAATGATTTGATTCTATAAATATGTATTTCCCTTGACATAATCTAATCGAGAGGAAACCAACTTTCGGTGAAACAACATACCCCCTCTCTCATGCAACGATTCTCTCTGATTCGCTTACACTCTCATTCTCCACTTCACTTTCTCTCTCTGTCTATCCCCTTTCTCTTGCCCTCTTTCCTCCTTCTCTTTCCATCTCTTTCCCTTTCTCTCTCCCTTTTCTCCCTTCTCACACCTTTTCTCGGTCCCTTCCTTCCCTTTCTCTCCCCTTTCCTCCCCTTTCCTCCCCTTTCTTCCTCTCTCCTCCCCGTTTTCTCTCTCACCCTCACCCCTCTCTATCCCTTCTTCACATTTCTCATTCCCCCTCACTTTCTCATTAACTCCCTTGCAGTCTCTCCCCTCATTGAAATAACCACCGAATCTGTCAAGATGTTTTGTTTAGTAGGCCCTTAATATAATGAAATGATGTTTAGAAGAGATATTATAGTAGTAGTAGTCAGTAGCGTAATGAGCCAAAGCTATTTTTGGGGGCGGGGCAGAAAAAAATATGCATCACCACCAGGTGGCATAATAAGGTGAGAACAAGCCCCCCCCCCCCCCGCCCCTCCCCCTATCAGTACGCCAGTGGCAGTAGAAGTATAGAAGAAGTAGTAGTAGTAGTAGTAGTAGTAGTAGTAATAACAGTATTCCCATTTGATATCACATTATGGTACATGTATAACAAATAACGTCTCTATGGATATATCAGCACAGACGAAGTCCTAGCCCTTGTAAATGAGACGGCCATTGCAGCCATCGGGCGATGGAAGAACTTAATTTAATTTAATTTAGGAACTTTATATTAATCTTGATCTAAGGAGACACGAACGAACGAATGAACCTTTTTTGTAACAGTTTTAATTGGATTCTAATAGATGATGTAAAGGCTTTACATCCAAAATAATCTGCCTTGTTTATTAGAGTGGTAACATCGCTAAAATTCGAAAACAGGTAAACAAAAATA